ATTGTGCACTCACCTAAAAATCCTAGGCACCATTGGCTCATATACAATTGCAGTACAAATCAATCCAGTCCTCTGCTGCCGTGACGTCATCACGCACAGCGTTCGTCGGCTGAAGGACTGGATTGATTTGTAACACAGTACAAATACAAGTACTCAGAAAGCTTTGAGACCATTCACAAAGAGTAATGTGGATTGCGCATGTGCAGTAGGAGGCTGCAAGGAGTCACAGCGGGCTTGTAAGCAGAATGTAATGATGGGCTTAGTAAGTTAGTAGCTAGTCCAGGCTAGGGGGGAAGGTTTAACTTATGTGTGCTCAGTTCCCGGGCTTCTGGGTCTCAGCCAGCCCACCTGTGATATAAAAAGTGGGAAGGCTGAGGTCCAGCGCTTTTTCCCATTCTTGGTTCGGCTTGTGAGAGGGGCTGCTGCGCCTTGCAACCTACTGAAGACACCAAGGATTCCAGAGGACAACCAGCAATGGAGAATACCTGCAAGGACTACAGCCTCACAGAGGAATGCTTGGGCAGCCACACAACTGTAGATAGGACTAGGGATTGGACTTGATCATATTGAACTGTATTGTTGAAGATTCTTCAGTAAAGTTACATTAACTGTTTTTGAGCCTGGTCTGAAGTTATTTGAGGCCTTCATGTTGGTTCTGGTATATCTGAAGAACCAGGTTCTGTTAAGCACATGCGGGTTATGAAGTCACACTACATTAAGTTACACTACATCAAGAAGGGGTTGAACTCAGCAAGTCAAGGAAGAGTAAAGCTCTTGCTGAAAGTAACCAAGTACAAGTCCAAGACATGAAGCAATCAGTTGTAGGCAGGGGCAGACTGACCATTTGGAAACTCGGGCACTGCCCGAGGGCCCGTGGTCAGTAGGGGGTACCATGAGATGCCCCTGGTACCTTTTTCATAGGCTTTTTTGAGTTTGGGCACAGGGGCCCCATGATCCCCTATTGCCCGGGGGCCCAATGAGTTGTCAGGCTGCCCCTGGTTGTAGGTGTGGTAAGGTAACAGGTCCTCGAGCAGTGAGAGGGTTACTGTTTTGCTCCCTCCTGAGAGGTCCATCTTCCATAGCAATTGGGAGCAGACCAGTGTTACTGAGATCCATGACCTGGCCGCAAGGTATGGAAGTGAAGGTGAAAGCATTGAGCTACAGTATGTGCTCAGCGGGACCCCATTCTATTACTGGGAGTTAGGTAACAGAGGTATGCTGGACTGCTGGAGTAGGCACAGGCTCAGCATGTCCCTCCTAATGCAGCAACTACTGAAGGCACAGTGTGTATAACATGGGACACCACATTTTCAGAGGAACTCTGTACTTTTGCTGTACACAGTGTAAGCTTTATCTCTAAGTCAGGGAATTGCCTTAATGTTTGATTTCTCACATGATTGCAGTCTCCACCTGCCTGCTAGATGAGCATTCTTCATGCAAAAAGTTACCCCCACATGCAGGGCGAATATGACCCCTCCCACAGGCTTCCCTTAGTAAACATGATGGTACCGGGGACTTGAAGACCGGTGAAGAACCGGCCCAGGTGAGTACCCAGCTGGATCCCTGGACACAGGGCCTGGACAAGGTAGAGGCTGAATGGCCACCTGCACCGGGTGCTGTGTTGCGGCGAGTGCTGCCAAGTTGGTTACTTATCCCGATTCTTATTGACAGGAGTGACTGTAGTGTCACTCCTGTCAGAAGGAGCAGCAGCTGATAACTGCTATTGGAGGGAGGATTCAGCTTTCTCCTCCCCCAAGCTTGCAAGGGGTGGAAAAGAGCCAGCGTTGAGGCAGAGAACTTCATACTTTCTCCCCCTTTCATGTGAAATGTCACGACTGGAGAGAGGAACAAGAGGCTGCATGAATTCCAGTGAGTACCAATCTGCCAGTGCAAGGAGGAAAGGGGGGTGGCAACAACACAGAAGCATGGGGACACTTGATGTAAAGGGTTACTCTATTGGGGACACCCGATGTTAAGGGAGACTCTATTGGGGACTCCTCATGTAAAGGGAATGTAGAGGGGACTCTACTGGGGATACATGAGGTAAAGGGGGACGCTGCCGAGACTCCACCTGGCGGGGGAGGGGGCCACAATTCATCATCTTACATGAGAGCTGTCAGTATACAGTGATAGATGTCAGTGTACAGACAGTGGGGTGTCAGGGTGCAGTTATAGATGTCAGTATACAATGATATATGTCACTGTACAGTGAGGAGTGTCAGTGTACAGTGATAGATGTCATTATACAGTAATCTATCACTGTATAATGATCTATCAATGACATCTATGTCAGTGTACATACAGTGGGGTGTCAGTATACAGTGATAGAATGATAGAAGTCAGTATAAGCTGAGAGCTGTCAGTACAGGCAGTGGGGTGTCAGTATACAGTGAATAGATGTCTGTGTACAGTGATAGAAGTCAGTATACAGTGAATAGATGTCGGTATACAGTGATAGATGTCGGTATAGAGTGATAGGTGTCGGTATACAGTGATAGATGTCAGTGGTAGATGTCGGTGTGCAGTGATAGATGTCAGTGTACAGTGGTAGATGTTAGTGTTAGTGTTAGATCTCAGTATACAGTGACAGGTGTCAGTATACAGTGATAGATGTCGGTATACAGTGATAATTGTCAGTATACAGTGATAGATGTCAGTGTACAGTGGTAGATGTCAGTGGTAGATGTCCGTGTACAGTGATAGATGTCAGTGATAGATGTCAGTGTACAGTGGTAGATGTCAGTGGTAGATGTCCGTGTACAGTGATAGATGTCAGTGATAGATGTCAGTGTACAGTGACAGATGTCAGTATACAGTGATAGATGTCGGTATACAGTGACAGATGGTCGTATACAGTGATAGGTGTCAGTATACAGTGATAGGTGTCGGTATACAGTGACAGGTGTCGGTATACAGTGATAGGTGTCGGTATACAGTGACAGGTGTCAGTGTACAGTGACAGGTGTCGGTATACAGTGATAAGTGTCAGTATACAGTGATAGGTGTCAGTATACAGTGACAGGTGTTAGTATACAGTGATAGATGTCAGTATATACAGTGATAGATGTTAGTGTGCTTGTTGACGGAAGCGCCTTACATCACTTTGGTTGAGAGTTCAGGACAGTAAATGGCAGAGGCCAGACTAGAAGGCTTTCCATTTCTCTCTATGCTGTATTAGATAATCCCCACTGAATTCAGCATCCAGAGGAGGGAGCCCTGTACCCAGGCTGAGCACCCATCCATCCTTAAGGGGACCTCTGGACTCAGCAGATTTCCATACTGTTCCAGGATTGATGACCATACCATAGAAGGAAGCTCATTATACACCCGATACCATCCGCCCATTTAAGAGATCCCTGGTGGTTACATATATATATATATATGCGCATTACCTATGTGCTTCTGGTGAGTGCGCACTTTTACCGTTTGTTCCAGTCACAAGTTTGCTTAGAAATCTGCTGCTAAGAAGATTATCCTTCTGTGCCACTTGAACTTTTTTTACTCATTACACAATTAATTTATTGGATGAACTATCATTTACCATTTATTATTCACCATTTATGTTTGCTATTTTCTGTTCATCTTTTATGACTATATATTAGCAGTGACAGATGTCCGTATACAGTGACAGGTGTCAGTATACAGTGACAGATGTCCGTATACAGTGACAGGTGTCCGTATACAGTGACAGGTGTCCGTATACAGTGACAGGTGTCGGTATACAGTGACAGATGTCCGTATACAGTGACAGGTGTCCGTATACAGTGACAGGTGTCAGTATACAGTGACAGGTGTCAGTATACAGTGATAGATCTCAGTGTGCAGTGACAGGTGTCAGTATGCAGTGATAGATCTCAGTGTACAGTGACAGGTGTCGGTATACAGTGGCAGGTGTCGGTATACAGTGACAGGTGTCCGTATACAGTGACAGATGTCCGTATACAGTGACAGGTGTCGGTATACAGTGACAGGTGTCCGTATACAGTGACAGGTGTCGGTATACAGTGACAGGTGTCGGTATACAGTGACAGATGTCCGTATACAGTGACAGGTGTCAGTATACAGTGACAGATGTCCGTATACAGTGACAGGTGTCGGTATACAGTGACAGGTGTCGGTATACAGTGACAGATGTCCGTATACAGTGACAGGTGTCCGTATACAGTGACAGGTGTCAGTATACAGTGACAGGTGTCAGTATACAGTGATAGATCTCAGTGTGCAGTGACAGGTGTCAATATGCAGTGATAGATCTCAGTGTGCAGTGATAGATCTCAGTGTACAGTGACAGGTGTCGGTATACAGTGGCAGGTGTCGGTATACAGTGACAGGTGTCCGTATACAGTGACAGATGTCCGTATACAGTGACAGGTGTCGGTATACAGTGACAGGTGTCCGTATACAGTGACAGATGTCCGTATACAGTGACAGGTGTCAGTATACAGTGACAGGTGTCCGTATACAGTGACAGGTGTCAGTATACAGTGACAGGTGTCAGTATACAGTGACAGATGTCCGTATACAGTGACAGGTGTCAGTATACAGTGACAGGTGTCAGTATACAGTGATAGATCTCAGTGTGCAGTGACAGGTGTCAGTATGCAGTGATAGATCTCAGTGTGCAGTGACAGGTGTCGGTATACAGTGATAGGTGTCAGTATACAGTGACAGGTGTCGGTATACAGTGATAGGTGTCAGTATACAGTGACAGATGTCGGTATACAGTGACAGGTGTCGGTATACAGTGACAGGTGTCGGTATACAGTGATAGGTGTCAGTATACAGTGACAGATGTCAGTATACAGTGAGATGTGGGCGTGGCGGCCAGGCCAGGTGAGGCAGAGGGGGCGAGTTGGCAGAATGGCGGGCGGTTGCTATGGCGGCAGGTGATAAGAAGGCGGAGGAGGGCGGGGCGCGGTCAGTGGCTGGCAGGCGGCGGTAGGATGAAGTCAGTACCGCGCTCCGTGCTGGCTCTGTTCTGTGTACTCGGTGCCGTACTGTTGGCCAGTGCAGGCAGCGGGTTCCTCGGTGCCCGGCTCCTGCCCCCGTCTGTCCCGGACCCCTCCCCCCGCAGTCTCGGCTCCCTCCTCCTGCTCTCCCTCTTAGTTCTGGGGGTTTGGGCATGGTGGGAGCTCTCCCGACCGGTGGAACTGATCCGGGGTCCCGAGGAAGTGGGCTACATCCCTGAGAGGGGCCGGGACAAAGCCTACACCGCCAACCAGGTGCGGAGGAGGAGGAAGAAGGGCGACCTGCCCCCGGTCTACCCCAATGGCTGGTACCACCTGCTGGACTCCCACCTCCTGGAGCCAACCAGCGTCCACAACCTCACCGTCTGCGGTATGTAACCTGGGGGGACTACAGGTCTCAGTGTGGGGGGGGGGGGGGGGAGCTGCAACTCACTGTCATGTTCATTGGGACTTGGGGGACTGCAAGACCTGCGTGGCCTGTGCAGGGTGCCTGGGGGGGCCGCTGTGCCCTGTGCTGGGGGGGCCAAAATGCCCAGCATGCCCTGTGCAGGGGTACGCAGTGCCCTGTGCCCTGGGGGTCTGCAGTGCCCTGTGCAGGGTGCCTGGGGGTCTGCAGTGCCCTGTGCAGGGTGCCTGGGGGTCTGCAGTGCCCTGTGCAGGGTGCCTGGGGGTCTGCAGTGCCCTGTGCAGGGTGCCTGGGGGTCTGCAGTGCCCTGTGCAGGGTGCCTGGGGGTCTGCAGTGCCCTGTGCAGGGTGCCTGGGGGTCTGCAGTGCCCAGCCTGCCCTCTGAAGTGAGCCTGGGGGACTGCAAAAACCAGCATACCTTTTATTGCACCTGGATCTGGGGAATGGGGGGACTACAACTCTTAGCATGCCCTCTGCCATGAGCCTTGGGGATTGCAATGCCCAGCATAGCCATTGAAATGAGTCATGAGCTGCAATGCTCATTGTGCCCTGCAGTGTGCCTAGGGAGGTCCTCATCCATTATGCTGGGGGACCAGGGGGGGGCTACAACCCCCAGTATGCACTTTGCAGCCTAAACTAATGAAACTTTTGACAGGAGCCTGGGACATACCACTGCTGCACTGTGACTTGTTTTTGGAGGGGCCCTGATTTTCATAGTATAGGGGTAACCCCTTGGCACTGGCACCTCCTGACTCTTTAAGCGGTTTTTGATGCCGGGAGGCAGAGTTGGCTTTAGGGTCATGTGACCCCCCCCCCCCCCCCCCCAATCTCGCAGGTAGCGATCAAGAGCTTTCTGTGGGTCGCTGGGAGCACGCAGGGCGCACACTGGTCACATGTTTACATCAGGTATGCAAATGTGTGACCTGTTGGCGTCCAGGCCCAGCTGCTGAGGCTGCATATATGCGGACCGACCACGCCAAGGAGTTAAACCTATTACTATAATGGCTTTAAAGTTCCATTCCCAGCATGCTGTGATTGGTGTCACCTTTACTTGTACTGCCAACCAATCAAATGGCTGGTGTCACAACTGATCACATGTGCAACACCATGGCAACTGCAGAGCAGAGGCCAGGATGGATGCTTCCTTGGCTGAAAACAATAGGAGAGTTTAGTTCCACTTTAAGTCCAGTGTTGAATGATGTAACTCAAGCGCATGGGAGTGAAACCATCCCAGCACTGAGGTACGCGGAGAATGCACGCGGAGAATGCACGCGGAGCTGCACATACATCCACAATGCACATTCCAGAGAAGATTGTGAGCAGGCAGGTAGGCTGGATTGCAGAAGACTCTGCATGTGTGCAATAAAGAGCCCACCTGCTCAGCTTTACTTTAGTTCCACTATAAGGCTGCATTTACACTGTGATTTTTGACATGCGGTTCTGTCCGTGATTCCTAATCGTACTGCAGTTGTAGCAAAACACTTGTTAGGTTCCATTTATTTGCCCTCCTGAGGATTTACTTTACCCTACCCTCCCCCCCCCCCCCCCCCCCCCACCTTCCTGACCAAGTCATTTTTTGCATTACAGCACTTAGTTTTTTTCAGTTGCATGTTCATGCAACGCTGCACCCAAATTAAATTTACAGGGTTTTTTTTCCCCACGAATTGAGCTTTCTTTCAGTGGTATTTGATTGCCTGTGATTACATTTTTTGCGCTATAGAAAAAAAGATAATTTTGAGAAAAAAAATTGTATTTTTGACTTTTTGCTATTAAACGCTCAGTAAAAAAATGTAAATCAAATTGTCATTTAGCCCAAAAATGTATTCTGCTACATCTTTGCTAAAAGAAAAAAAAACAAATACATGTAACTTAGTTTACAAATGTCGGTGTATATATACTGGGATTTTTTTTTTAAAGGTATTTTTACAGGTAATGGCGGCGATCAGCGACTTATGGTGGACTGCGGAAGGCATTCTGACATTGGGGGGGGGGGGGGGGGGGGGGGGGTGGGAGCTGACTTGGTGTCACTGACATCCCCAGTGACACAAATGCAGTGATCAGTGCTAATAAAAAGCAGTAAACAGGAAGGGGTGAACATGTGGGGGGATCAAAGGGTTGACTGTGTGCTGTTTTACGAAGTGTCCTGTGTGTGCTTTCCAGTGTAAGCACACTGCTTTGCATGGCTGTGCTATGCAGAGCCATGCAAAGTAGCATGCAGGAGATGACAAGGGAGAGACTGTTCTTCCCCCCCTGTCGTAGATGCTCGGCACTTACCAGGCACACCCCTGTCGTAGATGCTCGGCACTTACCAGGCACCAGCGAGTAATCACCGGCCGGGACCCGGTGATGACTGCCACGAATATCTGCACAGGTAGGGCGCACGCGAGCCACGGAAATGCAGAATCACATATGTGATTTTGTGCACCCCTGACTTCCTGTAACCGCATATCTGCGGTGTGATTTCGCAGCGACAAAATCGCATGGCAATCTGCATCGTGCTAACCTTGTTATCCAAAAGAGAATTCCCTTTTTGATCCAATGTCACTAGCGTGTGTCTTCATAGGAAAATTAAAGTGATACTAAACCCAGGACCCTGCATTCACTATAGCTGGTCTCCCACAGTACATGAAAGTGCAATTATTTTGGTAAATCTAGACTACTAAATACCTTTTCTTATCACCAGTATATAGCAGTCTTGTGACTTCAGCAGAGAACTGGTTAAAGCTTTTAGGAGGAGTTTTCGTTCTGCTCAGGGCTCTGAGGAAGAAGGGATCTCCCTTCGAAACGTGTCAGCTTTACCCTGAGTCCCCTCAGAAATGGGATTCACACTTGTCTCCTACTCCAGTGTTCCTTTTTTTGATTTTATATGCCACATATATTGCCACTTTTGTTAGTATATATCTTCAATAAAAGCACTTTTTTTTTTCTTACTGAGGTAATGCTCAAGGTTGGTGCGCATTTGTTTTTGTTCTTCATTGCAGCCAGTTAACCTACCAGCATGTCTTTGGAGTGTGGGAGGAAACCCACACAGGAACAGGGAGACCATGCAAACTCCAGGCAGGTGGTGCCGTGGTTGGGATTCGAACAGACGACCCTTGTACTTCCAGGCGGACATGCTAACCATTTAGCCACTGTGCTGCCCTGGTTTGCATGTGCTTATGACGTATTTCCCAAGTACAGAAGATTCACTTTTGGGGAATACATCCTATGCACAGGTGACTGCTGATACAAAATCGCACCAGTGTTTGCACAAGTACAAGCTCTTATGTCTATGGCCAGATGTACATACCACCTATGGTTTCCTGGGGTGCTTGAGAACGCTAGGATTTAAGGATTCTTGCGCCTACAGACATTTGTGTGAATGTAGCCTCAGGCCTCCTTCACAGGGCCGTTTAGCCGCATAAACCAGTTTCCAGTGGCAAGAATCAGCAGATGAATGAAAGGCACATACAGGAGCGGACTGACAACTCATGGGACCCCCAGGCAATAGGGGATCATGGGGCCCCTGTGTCCTTGCCCAATCCTATGAAAAAGGTACCAGGGGCATCTCATGGGGCCCCCTACTGACCCCGGGCCCTCGGGCAGTGTCCGAGTTTCCAAATGGTCAGTCCGCCCCTGGGCACATATGAATAGCAGTGGCCGATCAGCCTATGTAAATGAAGGACAGGCTGACAGTGGCTGCCACTGTTCACATTTAGCCACATCATCAGGTTACCTGCAATTAGGGACAGATGTCTGAGCCTGTGTGCAGTCAGCTGTCCAGACATCTCCCATGCGCTCTCCCAAGAAAAAAAAAACCCTGTCTAGCAATACACACCAAACTGAGCATGTGCATGCTACTGCAGATTCAGTCTGTATCAGGTGGTCATTTCAGCAAGAGGAGGGGCAGAAAAGAAGGGATCAAACAGTTTAAAAAGGCTATTAGTATTAACACCTTACGTTAGGTTCCACAGTGAGTATAACAAGCATGCTTGACTGCATATACAGACTGAGTATACTGTTGTGGGATTAGTAACACTTTAAAGTAAACTATAGGCAAAACTTTATAATAAAAAATTGGATAGAATATGGGAGAACCCTTCTAACCCCTTCAGTTTGCCATCTGTGTCTGATTGGGAAGATTTGCCTTCACTTCCTGTCCCATAGCCAAAACAGGAAATTAGGAAATCCCTGCAAATTAACCACTTCAGGTCCGGACACTTTTACCCCCTTTCCGTCCAGGCCAATTTTCAGCGCTATCACACTTTGAATGACAATTGCGCGGTCATGCAACACTGTACCCATATGAATTTTTAGCATTTTTTTGAGACAGATAAAACTTTTTTTGGTGGTATTTATTCACCACTGGGATGTTTTTTGCTATATAAAAGAGAGTCCAAAAATTTTGAAAGTGTTTTTCTTAAATAATTTTGCAAATCTTTCTTCATAAATCTTGGCCATCATTTATTCAGTTATCTTTTAAATTAAAAAAAAAAAAAAAAAAAAAAACAAGTTTATTAGTAAAAAAAAACCCCAAATTAGTTATAACCAAAAATTATAATTTTGGTAAATCTAAACTGCTAAATACCATTTCTCAGCAGGAGTTAGAGCAGTCTGGTGACTTCAGCAGAGCACTGGTTAAAGCTTGTAGGAGGATGTGATATAATAATATATAGTATAAATAATTTTTTTTTTTAACATACTGTTACCCTAGCAGTACAGTGTCACTATAGTGACAATGTACTACTTGTGGGGCGGCAACATTTTTTTTTTTTTTCTTTACAATGATTGCTTTTACACCCATAAAGGCTGTAAAAAATAATTTCTCCTCTCTGGCTACATTCTTGCAGCCATTGAGAAATACTGAGAGCTGTGATTGGTCACAGCTTGTCACATGGTACAAGGCTGTTATGACTAGCCTTGTACCATGTGACCTCTGTGATCATTCAGAAATGACATCTTGCTTACTACTATTCATCTGATCAC